AGGAGCGGAGGCTTCGGGGAGCGCTTCCTGCCCACCGCCCGCACCGCCGTGCGCGGCAGCCCCAGCATGGAAGCCATCGCCAAGTACGACTTCAAAGCCACCGCGGATGACGAGCTGAGCTTCAAACGGGGGGACATCCTTAAGGTAAGCGGAGGGTGAGGGCTCGGGAGTTCCCTCCTTAGCCCTGGGCTTTTCAGCTTCTCTTCCTGTCCATCAGACCTGACCCTCCTTTGAGTCCCCAGGGAACGCTGCCTCCTCTTAATAGAGTACCTCAAGATTTCCTCAATCCCAGCCTGATCTCTAGGAGCAGGAGCAGTTTGGGGTGTGTGTTCATAGTGTATCCCATGTCTCACTGTTCTAAGATTGGAATATCTGAAAACTTAGTCGTAAACATGGTAGCAAATAAGCAGAAGTACAAAGCAGTCTCTATGCTGAATTCCCTTCGAAGAGAGGAAACCCCTTAAAGTGATCAAGATCAATCTGATATTCCTTTCTTTTGCTTCTGCCAAGGATTCCAATATCAAAGAACAGTGATTGGATTATTTCTCAGTAGATAATCTTTAGCATCAGGCTGTCAAATATTGGCACTGAGTTTTATCTTCAGTCCTGATGAACTCCAGTGATAAGCTTGTGGCTGAATATTTAATGGATCTGTGCAGATGTAAGTGGATGCTGGAGTGCATTAGAGGAATTCTGGTCTATAGTTTTTTCAATATATCAAAGGCTTTTTAGGCTTCATCTTTGCTATATTAAGGAATTTGAGAAATGTTTGAATTTCTAAAGGTATATTTAAGAAACTGGACGCAGAAAACAAGCCCAAAATTCTCTGTTTTGGATAAAACCCCCTAGTGCTTTGGCCTCAGTGAAGCACAGCTCTGAGCTTTGTTGCTCCCAAGTCCTAAGAGCCATATTGCAGAATGCTTTAATGGAGCTTCATTCAGAGTCAGTATTTCCCCATAAGATGGGCTTTACCCTCCTGGTGTGATGTATTTTAAGCTGCTGCTTTCTCAAATGCTTTGAGTAGAAACAGTGTTGAGAGGTGCCTGTCTGCAGCTGTAACTCTGTGTGTGCTGACAAATCAAGTCCTCAGACCTCAATGGGATTACTCATCTGCCCAAAACTTTTGCCAGGGAAGAGCTTGATTTTAACTGCTACTTGAATATAAGTTGGAAAAAACCCAACCTTTATGGATAAACTTGTGCCTTTTATGACTGATATTTCAATAACGTAACCGTAGCTTTGTTAAAAGGGCAGTAAAATGTGCAGCCATCAACAGATACAGGTTGCAAAGATGTATCTCACTGTTAAAATAACTGCATCTGCGTGTGTCCGACTCATCCCTTGGCCTAGAAGGACCTTAGACCTCAATTCCTCTGTTGTAAATGACCAGAATATTTCCTTTTGCTACTTCTAAACATTTAAGACTCTCAGAATTTTAGAAGCCTTCCGGGATAATTCTGCGTTTTTCTTGAGCTGTATTTGTCTATTCTGGGTTACTACTACCCTCAGCTTTTATAGTGTATTTGAGGTAGAGCACAGCTGAGGTCAGTTTGTAGAACATGCCGAACACAAAGGAAAAACTGAAGTCTAGTGAAATTTGGTTTATTTGAAAGTGGAATCTTAATAATTTTGGTCTAGTTTGGTTGGAATTTTGCTGAAGTACATGGGAAAAAACTCTGGTAACATTTGCATTCATTTAAAATCATTTTCTTCTCTGAGAATTAAAGGCAAATAACTTATTTTTTAGACTTTGGAAGCCTGGTCTCTGCTAAAACTCCTGCTGCTGCACACAGTGACTTATAGTAACATGTTCTTGAGTCCTGGCACTTGGTGTCATCCCACAGGTACACGTTGTTCCCAGTGATAGAAACATGGTGTATATATGGTGTTACACTACATTACTAATTGCATTTTTCCTAAAGAGAGGAATCTTCCTACTCCAGACAAACCCAAGGCTGAGCACTTCCTTATAGCACTGATGAGCAGTTCTTCACACTGTATTTCAGCTCATGTTCTGAAAATGGCTGTTGATTTTATAGATTTCCTCCACAGATGAGTAAACTGAGTTATAGAAATGGTGAATTGCTCAAGATTATCACTGAGGTCAGTGGAAACTCCCAGTTTCAGGAATTCTTCAGCACACAGCTGAGTCCTGTGCAGCATGGTGAGGGTCACTAAAACTGGCAAAGTTCAGACAAATAAGCCAGACCCAATGCCAATTGTTACAGTTCACTTTATTCAGGCTGACAAACCTCTGTGAGGCTTTGTCATTCTGAAAGTCTGGTTCACTTCTAATGTGTTTTAAGTTGTGGAAATGAATTTCCCTCAGACATGTCAGATCTGTTTTGTTAGTACTTTGCTCGTGACAGAGAAATCTCAGGGGACCCCATTTGTGTACCTCATGTGATCTGTGCAATGAAGCAGGTCAGTCCTGCTGCCCTCGATTTGGGAAGAGAAATCAACTTGTACCCTGTTGAATGCATTTGCACGTTCACTCTTGAGATACCCTTTGGTGTGGTGCACACATAACTTGGTATGTAGTGAGGACTTGTTTGAATCTAGACACCTGCCTTGATGCACCTCCAGAAAGTCAAGTTAGTTTGGTGGCATGTATGATAGAATCATAGAATAAACCAAGTTGGAAAAGACCTTTAAGATCATCAAGTCCAACCGTTCCCAGCACTGCCAAGGCCACCACTAACCCCTGGCACTGAGGGTCTTGTCTACACGGTGTGTGAACACTTGCAGGCACAGTGACTCCAGCACTGCCCTGGGCAGCCTGTTCCAAACCTGAGCACCCTCTGGGGAAGGAATTGTTCCTCATCTCCATCTAAACCTCCCCTGGTGGAGCTTGAGGCCGTTTCCTCTTGTCCCATCCCTTGTTCCTTGGGAGAAGCCCCCTCCTGGCTCCATCCTCCTGTCAGGCAGTTGTAGAGGGCAATAAGATCCCCCCTGAGCCTTCTCCGGACTAAACCCCCACAGTTCTTCAGCCATTCCTCTTAAGAGGATGATGGCAAAGGATTGTTTCATAGCGAACCGTTGCACCTTGGCCACACTAAGGAAAGAACACAATCTCTAACTCTTTAATTCCCACTCGTTGGGAAGTTTGTGTTTCTCTGTTGGGAGAGCAGGCAGAGATGCACACTGACTCGCTCTGACCTCAGCAGATAACTTGCCTGTGATGTCATGGTGCCATTACTGCTGCATACCCATATACTCGGGGCTTGATTGAACAGCATTTGAACTGTAGCCATTAAGCTGGTTGTTAGTAATCTTGTGGCTGGTTTCCAAAAGTGAGTGAAGATAGTTGACCTTTGGCTTGCAATTGTAAATCAGCTGAGGGAAGAGGAAAAGTGCTTGGCCTTTGCTTGTGTGGGCACTGTATGGCAGAAGCTGCCTCTGTGACTCTGAAACCCTGGCAGTGCACTGGATCCCCTTGCCCTGTTGTCTAGTGGTTCTGTAGCAGTGTGTGGTGTTGCTATTCAGGAGGTGCAAACTGACCTTTGAACATTTTAAATACACTAAATGCTACTTTTCCAGAGCAAGGTTCCTTCTTCCTTCTGTATCTTCTCATTACAGCTCTCAGGATCACCGTTGTTCTCAGGTGTTGGTGGTTGCTTCACAAAAACTTGGTGACTGGAATCCCATTAGAGGTGCAAAGATGCCCTGTGCTGGTGTTTAGATAAGTAAAAATAAAATGAAACTGGGGGGTTCCTACTTGAAATGTTGATTTGCTTGGAATAGTTGATGGTTGCTATGATCCTTTTCCAGTCTTTTCCCCTTTCAATTGCTGTGTTTGTTGAAGTAGGGAGTAGTTAACTTCAGTCTCTGTCTATATTTGTTACTTGGGTTTTATGTCCCCCAAAACTATTGTATTTGTAGCAGCTTCTGCTCTTGTTGGCCTTTGTGCTAACTGGCAAGTATCCAGACCTAAAGTGTGCTAATACTTGCTCGTGGTTTGCCAGGAGATCTGGGGGGAGGAGAAAAGAAAAATCATCATTCTTCCTCTCATCTCATCATCATTTCTTTTCTCTATTCCTCCTACATCTAATCCAAAGAGCACAGTTAATAGTGTGGTGCTCTGATAACCATTTCTGCATGGTTAATGCAGAAGCACTGAGCACACTCAAGAATACCTTGAATGTTTTGGGTTTTTTAAAGAACTACAGACCACTGCTCCGTTTCCTCTTTCTCCTGTCATAGGCTTGGGGCATAGCTGCAAAGTGATCTTCTGAAGAACTGAGTAAGTTCCTGTTCCCAGTAGTTGTCAGCAAAATGAATTCAGGGGCACTTACAGATTGTTTTCATGAGGAAAATTATTCAGGAGGAGATTTAAAATAGAGGCCATCATCTTTCATTTTGGGGTGTTCGCTTTGGGATGACGCACACAGACCAGCTTCCCTCTGCTAAAAGAAGGAATTCCTGGATAGAATCTTGATCACTTGACAGTTCCCTTCAGCAGAGTCATGCGTTTTCCCTGCTCTGCTCACACACGGGATGGTCACCCCAGGTTCTGCTCACGTGCTTGTTTCCCACCAGCCTTTTCTTTCTGTCAGCCTTGAAGAGGATCGAGTGTTTGCAAACAGTTGATGCTGAGGTGGCATTTTCACTTCCTGCATGAAAACCATCTTTTTGTGTGTGGATCCAGTGAAACAGTTTTGACTAGAGGGAGGAGTCTGCTAAACAAGGGCAGCATGGTCTCTCTTCTTCCTTATCCCTTGGCTTTGACTTCACCTGCATTGCCTGTTATGGTGTGGTGTCTCTGCTAGAGAATGGAAATCCAATGCTTGCTGTGGAGTACTGCAGAGACTTCTCCTCTCTTTAGGGTGAAATTGTCTTTACTTTCATCCTTCTCTCCCTTCCTTACACACTTCAGTCATCTTTCCCCATTTATTTGGAAGGGGATAGACTCGGATGTGGTCTTGATTTTAACGTGAGAAACAGTTTTCTGCATTAAGGCAAATTGAAGCACTATGTGCTTTATAGTGAAATAGGTCACACATTGGAGCGGGTTGCCCAGAGAAGTTGTGGAATCCCCATCCTTGTAGATCCCCAAACAAAACCCTGAGCAAGCTGATCTAATTAGACTTGTTCTGAGCAGGAGGTGGATGGGGGCGTTCTGGAGGTCCTTCCAACCTACATTA